GTCTTTCTTCTTTGACTCAAAATGAGAAGTTGCTCACCAGCGCTTTTGCCCCCCGCAGGATGTTCGAAAACTTCTTTAAAGTGCTTCTTTAAACACATTGAAGGAGGGAAATGCTGAACCATCCGGTCTCCACACAGCAGTAGCCCACTCTAATGCCTTTCCAGTCAGTAACGAGCATACAAAGGAGATTTTCCCCAAGTCGGTTGGGTACAGCATGGGTTGTTGATTCACAAAGAGAGAACATTGTAACAGAAATCCCTTAAATTTATATGGATCTCCATCAAATTTTTCAGGCAAAGCAAGGCGTGGACTCATGTACAGACGCTGATTCAGGAGGTGCTATGCGTAGACTCTGCAATGTCTTTACAAGTTCCTCGGTAAGAGAAGTGAGTCTATTGAGCTGCTGCTGGTGCATAGCGAGCTGATTGGCTTGGGCAGATTGTTCCATTGTCAATTGTATGATGGCTGCTGGATCGCTAATCTTCTGTATCTTCTGTAATGATGAGTCAGCGGAGTGAGGATCCATCTGCAGCTTTATTAACAACAGATACAGTGCCAATGAGGATCCATCTGCAGCTTTATTAACAACAGATTGAAGTAATACAGTGCCAAGCAGCCGCATGGGTGAGACAAGAGCATAAACAAGAACAGGCAGTGGTCGGGGCAGGCAGCAAACAGTCAGAGTCCAGATAACAGGCAGAGATTAGGGCAGGCGGCAGATATTCCAGAAATGATAAAACAGTCCAAGTAATACACGAGTAAACAATCCACAATAAAGAAAACGCTCAGAACCATGGCCCATGGCAAATCAAGACTTGGCGGTGTGTGTGTGTGTGCTGTGCTTATATGGGGTGTGTGTAGCATGTGTCATGTGTGTGTGCAATCAGTCCCAGGTATGTGAGCTTCTGGGAAATGAACTCTGAATAATAAACAGTCAATATTCTGGTGAAGGTTCCCTCTGATGGAGGAGGCGGTACGTGAGCCTCATTTGTGACAATAATGATGTTATGACAAATATGAGAAATTTGTTATGGAGGTATCTTTGTTCTCCACATTTTAATTATTTAGGGAATAGTGCATCTGACCCTGATCTAAATAGTACTGTCTTAAATCAGAATATGTTAGAGCATTTTGTATTAATTGTTTTAGTGCGAAAAGGGATGGCTCTACACACAGTATTATATTCACTAAAGTAACATTTTATCGCAAATTTATCCATGAATGCATTGTAGTGATTTAACTGACCATCTTCATCTATCAAATCGACAACATACAGAACCCTTCTTGTTTAAATAGCGTCTTCCTTTTTATTGTAATAATTATATTATTTCACAAGGTGGCTTCATGTGGTGTAAAGTTGTGGGTAAATATCATTTTCCAGTATTGCAATATCTGTTTGTGGAAATTTGAAAGCTTAACAGGCAATTTAGAAATCTCTAAATCGTATTTCAACAAAAATTCTAACCCACCAACTCTTTTAAATATAGACTTTGTAGTTTCAAGTTTGAAACCAAACTGAATTACACTGTGTTAAATAAGACTTAATCCAGTTCAATGATCAGGCAAGTTTAATATATTATGGTGGACCGACGGTGAGCCTGAAGTGGTGGTCCGATATCTGGAAATCTGATCTTACTATCTGGACTTTTGCTTACAGTTTAGTCCCCACCCCCCAATGTCTCCTGCACCCCTGCTGTTGCCCATCCAAAAAGTTCTATTTCTTCAACCTAGTTAAGATGTAAGAGGTATCTTCATTTTAAATGAAAAAGAAAGAAAGAAGAGCTAAGACATACAGTAGTTTCTAGCGGCAAATTACAAATTTACTGAGGACAAATAAAACGCACATCTGACTAGAAGGATGATCTATAATAGAGAACTGGATTGCTCATGACATCATAAAAGTGAAGCTACAACACCGTCATATTGGTATTCTCCAGTATTCTCATACATTCTATTGAATTATTAGGAAATTGTACTATTTTAATGAGAAAATATCACCTAACAAATCAGCGGTTTTATATCTGAAGTCTCACCGTACATTCTTACAACGCAAACATCCTAAACATGTAAAGGGTTATTGTTTTAATATCAGGAATTTCCCCTGCTCATTAAAAAGTTACGTTCATATACATTACAGTAGCATGCATCAGATGAACATGATAAACATCAGAAGGATGAGATCCGCAATGTATTACAAATGACAAAGTGCTCATTCTGATATCTGAATAAAGATTTGCTTTGTATACTCATACATTAATTCGCCTTGTACAGTTATTCACTGTTTATGTAATTGTGTTATACTGTAGTGTTTTTATTTGTACAATAGGCTAACTGTAAATGTTTTAACAATGATTTTGTTAACAGCATTCATTTTGAAGCAGGTAATGATTTAAACGTTGGTTAAATTAAGAATTAATTCAACATATATACATAACATTTTAATCCTATGGAAGCTGTAATAATTTGCGAGGCCTTTAAGAGTCTGAAATAGATGTTGCTCAATCAGGGACATTAAAAATATAAACATCATAACTTATTCTGAGAAATAACGCTGACTACATATGGTACGGATTTAAAGACATGACGCTTTATTTCCAAGATGATGCAAGGTAAGCTTTCAATACAACATAGAGCAATATAGTAACAGAGGCTTGTATTGTATTATTTATTGTATATTCTAATACATTTCTGATACTAATACCATATATATGTTCATGTTTAATAGTTCCTTCATAATTACGTACATGAAGAAATATATTTTGTGTTGTACCTGTGTCAGCAAGTGCGCAGCAGACACACCCACCTAAATGATTTCAATATAGGCCTATCGCTTATCCTGCCCAAAAAGACCATAAACATTGCAGATAACATCTGAAGTAAAAATTAATTTACATGCACATATCTTTTAAACTAATCCTGTGTGACTGATACGATTCGAATCGGGAGATTTTAGGTCAGGTTTTGGCTGTCAGTCAATGGCTGCATCCGAAAGTTGGAAAATGCTGCCATTGGAGGACAGATTTCATGGTAGGAAGGCATGAAGAAATGTCCGAATCCAATGTCAGCTTCACTTCCTGTCTCCTGAGATACCTTCATCTGATCGATTTTTGAAGGCAGCATAGTAGATGTATCCTTCGCTGCCTTTGATATCCCACAGTCCTGTGTGTTCCATTCCGTGATGGTTGAGCTAAAAAAATAAATAAAGATGGTGTCTGAAAGTTGGTGGTCAGTTTGTGTGTAAATGTATGTTTCTGACCAACTTTTTGCACTTTTGATGTTATTTCTAGCAAGAAATCAGTATTATAGTATTTAAATATTCACTTAGTTATCACCAAAGTTCATTGAGCAATCCAGTCATTATATAGATCAGTGGTTTACTTCCATAATTTGTGCAAAGCGTCATGGGGCAAAGGAAAAAAGGTGGATATTGATAGCAGAATGGTTGCCAAGCAACACACAGGCGCAGTGACGCAGTAATACTGATGGTCTGATACCATCAGTAATACTGATAATAATGAGGTCACAGGTGTATGTTTCTGCAGTAATTTACAACGGCTTTGAACGCGGTCAGTCACTCAAAATCAAGGACAGGAAGTGTTTTATAAATACGAATATTCATGTCTTAAATTCTTTACTTTCAAGCATTCAAACCCTCAAGATTTAAACATGTCTGATAATAATAAATTCTATGAACAATAATTTGAACAATGTGAGGTCTTGGAGTCAAAGTGGCTGAGAACCATCTCAGTGCTAGAAGGCCTCTGACATGCAAACTAAGGGTAAGAGTTGTGCAGTACAGTAGCTCGGTGAATGGATGTTTTGTTTAATTGAACCAAGTATTCCAGTGTGACAGGAATACTGTACTGACCAATCAACATCCAGAGACGAAACAATTCATTTAATATGAATCATCAATGATACATGTGACAGCAGGATACCTGTATACTATAGATGGGACAAAATCTCAACAATTCTGATGAATGGCTATGCTATTTTTAATTTTGTCATTTTATCTGAATATCAACATTTGAGAGATTTAGTAAGTCAAAACAGTTTTGAGGTTAATTGATTTTTTGTGTCTATTTGTTAATGATGGATTTGTTAACATCCATGCTTTTGGATTTGTGGAGAAGAGAAATTAGTATTACTCTTATCATCATCATCATCATTATTATTATTATTATTTGGAAGTAAAAAGAGAAAATTAGACCTTTGTTTCTATTTATTTAATTGAATAGGACATGCAAAACTTATACCTAAATATGTTACAGTTACAATTTCCCTTCACAGATCAGCATCACATATCAGGCCTGTTGTCCCCAAGGACCATGAGGTTGTCAGGACAACCAGTGTGATTCTGATTCCAAGCAGCTAAGACAAGACTCTACCTTAAGACAGCAGCTGCTGCAGCCATCAGCCAATCAAAGGTGAGCAAGAGGGAAAAGGATGATATCATAGACAAATTAGGGCAAGTTGCATTAGCACTTTGTTTTGTATAACTGCCCGCAGACTAAACGTGGGTAGGCTGGGCTAAAGAGATAACTGGTTATGGTATAAATGGACATTCACACATACACACACACATACACAGGTTACAATTTTATTATTATTATTATTATTTTAGTGCTTATTGTTTTATAGAAACATATAAAGTGATTTTATCAGATGCTAATACCATGTTTTTCATATAATGCTTGGTACCACATGATTATACACCATATTTATATGGTACTCTATCATGGTAGTGCCCATAAAAAAATAAATAAACTGACAAGCTAATGTTTACATAAAAAAAAAAAAATGATAAAAGAAAAAATATATATATTATCATGCTGTTTTTACTCTGAATGAAACTGGGTGGGGGAAAAAATCCCTACCTTGCTTCCACTAGTCTGTGAAACAACAGATCCAGTTTTTCTGGCTGCCTCCCTCCCCCTCTCTCCTGGCAGCTGCCTTTATTAACATGCAGCCCCTTGGCCAATAAGGCTGCGAGGGCTTTGTGACATCACAGGCTAGGGAACAGTAGGCAGGCAGTGAAGCACGCAGGCTGCCGACTAGACAGTGAGTCCAGGTCTTGGGGTCAGGAACCGGTCTGACCACAGAATGGAGAGTCTGTGCATGTACTAAGTTTTAGGAATATATGCTTTGGAGGATGTACAAGGAAAACACAAGGAGGCTTCCACGGATACAGCCAGGGAATGTCAAGACATGTTTCAGGTGAGTTGTTTCTCAAGGGCTCATTTTCTGTCTGCGATGACTCGAATATGGATGAGAGAGCGAGAGAAAAAGGGAGGGAGAGTGGGAGGGTGGAGAGGGGTAACGTTTTTGCTTGGCTCTCAGCATTCAGACCTTTTGACGAGGATAGGAAAAAGAAGATGATGGAGGAAAAAGAGAGAAGCTGTGTTAATGCATTGTATCGAGGAAATACAGTTGCATTCTGGGTGCTCTTGCAGCTGCCCCTACCCCTACCCCATTCCAACAGCAAAATGCATCTCTGTTGATGTCACAAATGAACGTTGTGGGTGTGTGTAATCAGAATAGCAGCAAATATGGAAACAAATAAAGCACTGCTTTTTTTTTTTGTCTGTGAGATTCAAAGCTGCATATATTTCTATGTCGATGTGACCATTCCGACCTTCCTTGTTCCATTAATGATGCCGAAAAGATGGATGGTTCAGCAGACAGACTGATGTCATTGGTGGTGGGATATGGCCTTTTGTTAGTCTCCATATGTCTGTATTTGGGTCTTTCATATAGTACGTTTTAGAATGATTGATTTTTACCTCTGCCAAGCTTGTGCAGATGCACAAGAGGCTACACATACACTTTAGGAGTCAGAGCTAGCCAATGTCCCTCTCTTTATTCAAGTATTTTTAGATATAGAGTATCAGAAATAAAGAGCAAGGAACAATAGTTCCTGAATCAGTGGAGGATGGCTTTGTCAGAGATTTAATTCATTAACATATGTGTCCTGTGGAATAGGAGTGTAATGTGTGATGATGTGTGGGGGCTTGCACAAAAAGACCTGACTGCTAAACTAGCTATGTGGTAATTGGGGATACTCTAGTATAGGAATTTTGGCCTATAGTAATAACCAAAAAATCAATATTAGGGTATGGTTGACAACCGATATGATGGTCAGTAACCTATATGTTTTTAAAGATGTTACCTATACCTCTTCCCAGAAATTGTTATCTGATACAGAAAATGTACGGTTTGGTGTGTGTGGGGGTTTCCCTCTGTCTACACTGAATTAGTTTGTTGTTTCATATGCCTGTGAGTTTCCTGTTTTATGTGTTTTTCACATAAAAAATATATAATCATAATGTAACAGCATAATAACGCAAGAAGGCCTACACACTTCCAAATGACAACAAACTTTTAATTTTTAAGAATATTTAGATCATGGAAATGAAGTATCAAAATAATTAGATACCTTAACCTGAATAAATAGTAAATAAACATTTTCTAACAAAAAGTGCAAAGTAACAAGTACAAAAAAAAAGAAAAATGCACAAAGAACTTGTATTGAGATTTTTCCCTGACCTTCTTTTCTCTGTAAAATAAGGGTGCACACTATTGCTGAAAAACACAATCCCTACTTAGCACTCAGATGTCTGTATGCACAAAGGCACAGATCCCTAAACAAGGCCATATCTGCAGATGAAACTTTTTTTGTAGAAGCAATTTTTAAATTTGAACTAGCACCTCATGACTACACCACGTTATGTATGAGAAGCTGCAGAAGACACAGTTGCAAGTGGAATGTACAAAACATATTAACTTTTGAGTAAATATAATGGGCGATATATTGCAGTATTTTTTTTTTCTCTTTATTGTGACTTTTTAATGTGTATTATAATCAAAAGTATGCCTGAAAAACTACATTAAACTTAAGAATTACATCTAATGTTTTTCATAATTGCAACGTTTGCAACTCGTCAAGCTGTTAATCAGCATATCAGATAATATGTTTATTTCACATTGTTCCAACAATCACTGGTACACGGTCAAGCACTGTTCATACTAGGGGTGGGAATCGCAGGGTACCTCACGATACGATACGAATCACGATACATGGCTCACGATACGATAATATCACGATACAACAATTCTGCGATAATCAATATATTGCTAGACAATTCTATAATGATACCTCACGATATCTGTCTAACTATGAAAACAAAATGCCTGTGAAAAGGTTAAGTGCACGTTTTCTCTCTTTATTCAAGTCCAAACTGTTAGAAAGCAGCACAAAGTTATGTAAATCAAATTTAACAGGCTAAGGAAATTAATCATTTTATTCTTGGACTTACTAAAAGCTTACACTTTTCTTTGTGTGTAAACCAACACATTTAACTGCTTATCAACTTTATATATAGCCTATATATAAACGGTACATTTCAAAATTTACCTGGAGTGCTTTCTCAACCTTTCCTCTCCTCTCATCATAAAAACGGAGCCCCGTGCACATGACATGCAGGGGGGAAAAAAGCCATTCACATCGTGTCTTTTGCGCGCTCGGGTTCATTATTTCAAATGTATTTCAAACACACTGCACACTTCTGCACCGCATTACGGCTCTGATGAAGTTTTTTTTCGTCGTCCATGCCATAGGTGCAGATTTATCCCAGTCAGCAAACTAATTTGGCCCAGATTTGGCATGCATCTGGCACAGCTGGCATTCATCCGGCACTGGCATACAGCATGTGGGCCAAATATGGCAAGGGTTTGGCAGAGATGGTATCGGGTTTAAGATGGCACACAAGACATGGGCCAGATGTCAAATATAGTATTTGGCCCAGATGTCAAATATAGATATTAGGGATGCACCGATACCACTTTTTCCAGTACTCGCCCGATACGGATACTTTTATTTTTGGTACTTACCGATACCGAGTACCGATACCAATATTTTTATTGCATTTGTACATTTTTTAAATATTGGGTACAGAAACCAAAAGAGTATGTATAATGTTAGTTGGTTAACTTAATTTATCAAATAGATACAGTCAAAAAATAATAATATTCAGACACCTTCAAAAGTTCTCACATTATCACAGTTTATTCGCTATAGTTTAGAACATGGTAATAAAATATGACAAAAACTCAGAGTTTAACTGTGTCAGAACAAATTCAGCTTGATAATGTTAGATAGCTTTGATAGAAAGGTATGTAATGGATTACAATCAACCAAAAAGTTCCCAGACTCGGTCTGAATAATTTTTGGTCCCAAATTTGTATCAGTTTTACTGGTAGTCCACTTTATGAAGAATTTTTGGGAATAATTTATCACAGTTTACTTTATTTTGCTATCCTCACTTACAGTGTTCGAACTATACCATGGTCTTTGGGGGAACCCTCTTTTTTTTATATAACGGGGGGGGGGTGTTCGTGCGTTTGCGCGTGCCTCAAAAGAGGGCTTACAATGGCTTACCCTTGTAATTTAGCTGTTATGCATCTTTGTATGCGCTACTTGCTTTATGCAAGCACTATATAGGATAAATCACTATACAGGATTTACCCTATTATACTTTATCGACACGAATTGATAGGTGAAACAACAAACAGCCACCCACAAATAGTCAAACAAAGCATCAGGCTGTCTTTGAGTTCACATGAACAATGGTTAAAGTTACTCGTCTCTAGGCTACAGAAGAATACCATAATTCCTCCGTTCAATTAGACCTAAGACATCGAGAGTCACGCAGACCTATAACAACCCATCCACAACACATAATTGCGAATAACATGCCTTACCTTAACACAGAATCGACCACAGAGTCCAACGTTTATATTTTTTCAATGAATCTTTGAGTTAACATGTACTAAACATGAGTGGAATTTGCACCGCAGCGCCCCCACACCTTGATGCTCATGACAAGAATAGCATGTATAGTTATCTTTATTGAAGTGAATTAGGTTTAAATTGCCTTCATGCTTGAATTAATATTTTTGCAATTGTACGCATAATAATCCACGATGATCACATTACACAAAACTGAAATTGCACATCAAAATAACACATTGTCCATATTTTTTGAGAGCCCCCAAAATTTCACAAATTACGTTTTCAGGGGAGCACATGTCTTATTAAGGGGAGCCGAGCTCCCCCTAGCTCCCTCGTAGTTCGCACCCTGCTCACTTACATAAATGAGCAATAGTGTCCTTCTCGCACTAGTAAAAAAAATATCAAAAATTATATCTGGTCTCTGAATAATTTTTGGTTTGACTATATATCGTTATTTTCACACTTAATTATGCCCATTAAAATTTATTTTATACGTGTTTGTTACTTTCACTTTTTTTGCTCTATCTTTAATTTAATAGCATTAGAGCTGCTCCATTGCAGCGGCTTAGTACTGTAATCACGCGCTTTGCAGTAATAATGCAGGGAACCACTCGTTATAAATCTCCGAAAGAAGTGCGCTCTCTCTCTCTCTCTCTCTCTCTCCCTCCCTCCCTACCATTAAGTAACGTGTGCATTGTTTTACTTTCTTGTTTTTGACACATCCGACCGAACTACAAGCTTTCCAGTGATGTCTGTGAGAAAGGCATATTCACTCAACAAGCTTGCGTATCTGCGCACGCACAATCCACACAGAGTGTTCTGTTGTCTGTGTTTCTTTGTCTGAATATGGCACTTGTCTGTGTGCATTTAATTTATTTAATACACGAGTTTCACAATTTGAGTTGAATTACTGAAATAAATTAACATTTTTCCACGACATTCTTAATTATTGAGATGCACCTGTATATGATGAAGTTTCAGGACATTTTATTTGACTTTTATGTACTATTTATGTAGATGCATTACTTTGATGTGTTTTAATGGGCACGCGAGTTAAGCATTCAAATCGCATTTAAACTGGAGCGGAGGGAGTTACCATGGAAACAGGGCGTCAACTTACTCAGCTGACAAGTAGCGAGAGTCTGTCTCTCTGCTGTTTTCACTGCTTTCAGGTAAGTTTAGTCCCTACAATTACACAAATAATACAAAGCACAGCCAGCGAAGGATCGAATGCAACTGTTTTGAACGAGCGCATCTTTTTTTAACAACCAAAAAGTTTTAATCACAACCGTTAACTAGTTATAGAGGCTAACTATTAGAGGTAAGCTAACTATAGATTTGAGCTCTTAATCACATTTTATGTGTAGATGAGCGGTTTTGATAGTCTGTAAATGTTTTGCTGGTACTTTGTCAATAGATAAATGGA